TATGTCGAAAGCAGACAGACAGACTGTTTTTTACTATCAATTGCTTAGCTGAGCAGGATAGTGGATAGTATGATGACAGTGATAAGCAATGTTTAGTCGCTGAAGGAGAGCAATATCTTAGTACTATTTCCCTTAATTATTCGACTAGAGCTGTGGGACTACTGTAAGCACGGCTTGCAACCAGCATACACTTCACACTTTTCGTTGGACTTTGAATACTAGATGGTGTCTTTAGTCCCAACACAACTACGGTTTACTAAATAAAATCACACGTGGTTAATCGGTAACATCTAACGTTTCGTAAGTCTGTGCGACTTTTGTAAGCTTAATTAATCATGAATTGTAACTGTTATATGCTACTTTTTAACGTAAATACAGTGTAGCTTTAGAAAGTTGCGTCAACTTGTGCACTTATGTTTGTAGGGAGTAATAGATTTATGCTTTTCATAAACCACATCACCATACAGATTAGCAGGCAAGATAGGTGAAATCCGAAAAAGCAGTTACAAGAACGACAAACACTTACACTAGTCAGTCACGTTACCTGAATGCATTAGCTAGTGACTAAAATTGTCATCACTGTACTCATCGTGTTTAAGCTGTTTACACTCATGGAACGTGCGTCCTGCCCAAACGTTTGGAAATTACTTTTATGCATAATATTCAGAAAGGACATGCAGACGGACAGCTTACATATATGTGTATGAGATAAATGGCATATTTCCTCAGAGAAATAAGTTAGGTAATCAGGACCGTGAACAGTGGTGGGTGACAAAGGCGAAAGAGATGGAAAAAGCATTGGCGATAGGCAACTCTTTAGACTCATCACAGAAACGGGTGGGAGAAGGCAAATCATAAGTGAGACTATTTCTGAGAAAAATGGCTCCTTAATTAGCTCTCAGGATAGACGCCTTGAACGCTGGAAAGAACACTTTGAGGAACAATTTAACTTGCCTACAGCCACACTGAACCTCCCCGCCATCCACCACGTACCCGAATGGGATATAGACACTGGTCCGCCGTCTGTAGGTGAGGTTACAAAAGCTATCAGTAATTTGAAACGAGGCAAAGCGGCAGGACCCGACGGAATTATTCCGGAGGTGTTTAAATATGGGGGTGACATACTAGTTTGTAGATTAACTGAGGTACTAGGCAAAGTCTGGGAATCAGAGACAGTACCATCAGACTGGGGTAAGTCACTTATTATACCGATATTCAAGAAGGGAAACAAGTCCTCGTGTGATAATCATAGGGGGATCAGCCTAACGAACATAGTCTCTAAAATCCTAGGCTCAGTAATCATGCATAGACTAAGCAGAACTCGGGAGGAACAGACAAGGGAAAATCAAGCAGGCTTTAGACCAGGTAGAGGGTGCATAGATCATATCTTCACTCTTCGACAGATTCTAGAACATAGACACACTTTTCGGCGTCCAACAATTGTCATATTTCTTGACTTGAAGGCGGCCTTCGACTCCGTGGACCGAAAGTACTATGGCAATGTCTGACTGTGAAGGGAGTGCCAAGAAAGTACATTGCACTAATCAAGGCACTCTATTCAAACTCACGTAGTCGTGTAAGGGCTTATGGGGAATTGTCATCTGAATTAGTAACAACCAGTGGTGTCCGACAGGGATGTCCACTTTCCCCATTTCTGTTTAACTTCATCATAGATATGCTAATGGAAGTATCCTTAACTGAACGTAGTGACTTAGGAATCGACTTGTTACCAGGGAATAATCTAATGGACTTAGAATATGCAGATGACATAGTCCTGTTAGGGGAGGATGCTGACAAAATGCAGAGTCTTCTGAACACCTTGAGCAGCAATCTTCGTATGTTTGGCATGCGATTCGCCCCTGCAAAATGTAAGATGCTGCTACAGGACTGGACGACGTCAACCCCTAACTTAGTGATAGGGAGTGAAGTGATAGAACATGTTGACCACTTCACCTACTTGGGAAGTTGTATTAGCACCAACGGACTGATTGGCGATGAAATCTCAGCACGGATCCGAAAAGCTCGAGCTGCTTTCGCTGACTTACACCATCTCTGGCGTAGGCGTGACATCCGGTTATCAACCAAGGGACGTGTGTACTGCTCATCAGTTCGCTCCGTCCTTCTCTATGGCTCTGAAACATGGCCAATACGCGTTGAAGACATGAAAAGGTTGACTGCTTTCGATCATAGATGTCTGCGATCTCTGTCTCACGTTAGGTGGTTTCACAAGATAAGTAATGTTGACGTTAGGCGTAGAGTGTTGGGCAAAGAGGGAAAATCAATCGACGAGGTTATAAAGTTACATAGACTAAGATGGCTAGGTCACGTGGTGCGCATGCCTAACCACCGCCTCCCCCGACGGGCATTGTTAGCTGATATAGGTTCAGGTTGGAAAAGAGCCAGTGGTGGCCAAACAAAAACATGGCATCAATCCATGAAATCCTTGACAGTTAAACTGAGTCAGGTAGGGAGATGCAGACTCCCGGGTTGGGGCCCTCGGGACTCTAGGAATCAATGGCTGGAGACAATAGGTGACATGGCTCAAAATCGTTGTCAATGGCGCAGATGTATTCAGTCTCTGTAATCTTTCATATTCCTTTCTACCATTACCCATTCTGTTTCACTCTTATATTTGTCAAACTCTATTAATTCTCTTCACTCATCTTCTTGTCTACCTCTGTGTGCTATTTGGAACGTGGCAACTCGAACTGCTGCACTTCGGTGCCAAGTTCTATGTTGAACCCAGACAGACAGACAGGTAATCAGGTATGATGTCACTTATAAAAGTCTAACCGACCACACTTTAAAACAATGCTTAAAGAACGGTTTGCACAGATTGTAGTGATATTTCGTTTCATTGAATAGTTGAGTACCTCATTTGATCTTGAAAAATAAATAAAACTAAACCTGAATAAAGTTCATGGTAGTTCAATGCAGGTGAATACTAGGCGTTTTATGCAGCTTGTGCTTCATTTGGTTGCTTTTCATACTATTGCTTTCTACGGTTGGTATACCTTGGTTGTAAAGCGTTTATTCTAAGCAACATCCTTAGGGATATATACAGGGGATTTTTAAGTGAGCTGTGCAACTCCAGATGAGCAACAATACAAAAGATCTTCAACTATCTTAAATCAACACAAGGGGTTATAAGACAAAGTGTTATGGACTAGGTGACAAGTCTCAGCGTTACTATGCATGGTTATCTGTTGAAGTAACTGGTTTGACTGTTGAGCACTTGTCTTATTCTATGAAGGTGTGACATGCATATCCGAGAGTACTATTCTCAGTTTCTTATATTCCGGCGATATTAATTTCGCTTTCCTCATCTGTAACTTTTTACAAGTATTTATCTCCCACCCTTGTGGCTTTTGTTTCTCTGCTTAGCATGATTTCCACTGAATAGATACTCAACTATGCTGATCCATATCTTGAGAAATAATTGATATACTGTCAGATTCCATATTTTCCTTGTAATTACGTACCCTTTCTTGTTCCTAGGGTCTATTGTTATTTAAAGGTTGACGGATATCTCGTTCAGCAACTTCTAATTAATTTATTCTCGCGTACCAAAGACAAAGCAAAAGCCAATATTTGATCGTCCAAACTACGTGATATATTTCGGGACCAAAACAAGCCGTCAGACGAACGCTTAGCTGGCTAGTGATCGTGCACGTGACACGACGGGGTACCAAATGGCTGGGATGCTTGACCGGAAGCCTTCAGCTAAACAAGTCGACTTAAACAGTGGTGGTCAGCATCCAATGAGTGATTGCTGTGGTCAATAATTTTGGGGAATTATTTACCGCTGCAGTTATATATATATATATATATATATATATATGCACTTGAGTCGATATGGATGTGCAGTGAATATGTATCTTTCTTAAGTAAAGCCCAGAATAAACCAAGTAGAATTTCGTACGTTTTGCGCTCAAAGTAGACTTTGAGTGAAAATTTCACTTAACTAGAGGCTGGTAGACTGGAACGTTACTAACTCAGTATAGTGGGATTGACACTGCATCCAAATTAAAGTTGTTTCCTTCAAGCCCTACCGGAGCAACTTGTCCGCAAAGATATTTAACTTAGGCAAGGAAAATGCAGACTATGCTGTGTTTACCCAATGTTTGAGTAGTCTGAATAATTATTTTTTTCACTTAGCATAATTGTTCCAAATATGACGAAGTATCTGGGAGACAACATTAGAAAGCACATACTGCATCAAACTTGAATGTTTCCAACGACCTCTAAGCATATTTTACCACTTCTCTTATATGGTGAAAGTAAACGACAATTCTGCTCAATTTTAGAGATGTAAGTAAGTGTTAAGATTGGCAAACTTTGTTAGCCGCGATATCACGATTTATGCATGTACTAACATGATAACTTTATTGGATAGTCTTCATTCGTATATTTATGGCCTACATTTCTGATTTCCGATATGTTTATTTATGCTTTGAATCTTTTCTGTAAATATTATATGTACCTTGTATTTTGTATAATAAAAAATTGTTGTTCCGGTCGTCGTTTTTTCCAGTGTAACTTTTGTGTCTATCTAATTGTGGGAAATAATTTTACGTGATCAGCTGCTTACAGTGCCGTGGGAGGGGGGCATTCTAGTCAATTTAGACGAACGCAGGATCACCCTGTCACAACAAATAGATGAATGGTATTTTATCTTTTTTGAACCTTGATAATAAGTAATGAAGAGAAATGGTTTAAGAGAACAAAATGTTCTGTGTCTCCTTTTTATACAATACTAGGATAAATAAAAGCATTAATACATAAATTAAATTGCTACACTTGTGTGTATGCATCCTTGTATATTTATGTATTTGGTTATAAGTTTAAGCGACAAATAGAAATGACTAAAGTCAGTCAAAACAAAAAAAGCAAAGTAAATGGTTAAAAATGAAATTGTAATGAGTCGGAAGTATATTGGCTGATAGGCTTAGGGGTTATGTTTACTTCTTCTTTTTCTTGTGTTTATTCTTATGCTTTTTCGGTTTATCTTTGGATAAAGTAGCTTCTGTAGGCTTAGCATTATCATTAACATTAGTGGTAGGTTCGGTTGAATTATCAGGTGACTCAGACTTCTTTGTATCAACTAATGGTTGAGGATCAGAAATTGGCATCACATTACTCACTACTGATTGATTTGACTGCTCAACATCATTTACATTTTGTTTAGCTTCTGCTAGGTTTATATTTGACTCAATTTTAGCATCTGTTGTAATATGAGAAGAAGCACACGAGGTGCTATTGCCAAGTGATACCGAGGTATTTTTTATGTCATTTTGCATAACAGTAATGTCATGAATATCTTGAGAAGCAGTATCTCTTGGTGCGTGAATGTTGCGTTTGTCGTCAGTATCGATATGTTGACTCATTGGTGTTATGGATTCCAAATTAGCAGGCTGTTCAAGTTCTGCAGAAGCGCCAGAATTTTCTGGAAGATTTGGTATGAGGGGGGAATGGGAAATAGGCTCAAGATTTTGAGGAACAGATGTCATTTGAGTGTCTGACTCTAACTTCACAGTGCTGAATGCGTTGACGTCACTTAAATCCAGTTGAGCAATCTGCATTTGTTCTGAGTCTAAAAGACTTTCAGGAATCTGAGTGAGAACTGAACCCCAATCATTGTTGTTTGCTTTCTCCCCCAGTTCAGTATTCGATACAGTCTCTTTATTCTTGGACATTTCTTGAGATTTAATTTCTGTACGATTAGGACTTTCCGACCTATGAATTGCTTCTTTCTTACTCGGTTTTACACTTGGCCATCCGCTCCCCACAAAAAGACCATGATGAGACGGTTCAGTTGATTCAGAATTTACAACGTCACTATTGTCTTTTGTTGTGCACTTATTAGGTGGTGTATGATTACTTTTTACTTTAAGTGAGTCAGTGTCAAGATATTGACTCATTTCGGCTTCGAATTGTGGTTGATTCAGCTTGGCTAAAAGGGAAGCCCATTCAGGGCGTTCTTGGCCACTTACGTTAAGACTTTCAGATTTTTGAGTACTGGATGGTGCTGGTTCCGAAGAAAGATGAGACTTACTTGAAGAATAATTACTTTCTGGTGCACAACTATTAGGTTTCGATTCTTTTTTATTTCCATTTGGCCATCCATCTCCAACGAAAAGGCCATGGTGAGGGAGATTTTCTTTTGGCTTTCTATTAGGCAAGAGTGACGGCCATTCTGACAAATTGTCAATTGGAGTATTGCTGTTATCAAGAACAGCGGGTTTTTTATCTGATGTGATATTATTTGGGGATTCTAAATAAGTCTCTTCATGTTTTAATATTGATTGGCCAGGCTCAGGACTAACGCCATATAGCTGGTGAACATTATCGGCTTCAGTATAAGGAGATGGAGAGTGGTTAGCATTCAGACGACTACCGATATTATCTTCATGATCAGCATCATATCCTGAAATACTACTTCTGGTGTCTATGTCACGTGGTAAATCACTTGATAAACTAGAAGACAGTGTTACCGAGTTCTGCATACTTAGTATTTTTTCTCGTTCCTCCTGCTCCTTATAGCGTTTTCGAATAGCTTTACCACAGTCTGTCCAGTTAAGAGGTTTCTTCCCAGTATGAATGGTACATTTATCTTTTGATGACAGAGAACTTTTGGATGCGATAGATGGTGTTTCACTCTCATGAATAGTGTGATGTTGTGTATCGCTAACAGGAGCTTCTTGCTCTATTGATTCTTTGCTAATTTCATCAAAACTCAAGTTATCATTAGCAGCAAGTGAATGTAATAAATTATCAGGATGTTTGTTTGTTGATGGCTGCGTTGTTGTTGTTGTTCGTTTTTCAGCTATGACAAAATTAAAGAAGTTAACAGGTGTAAACAAGTGAAAAAAATAATATGAAGATCATTAAAACACTCACCAAAACTATAGAACGTAAAATTTACCCTAGAACACCCAATTCTTTTAATGTTTGTTAGCAGGTCTGAATTTTAGACCACTTACTTACCTTTAGGTGTAGACATTACAGTATAATACATACACCCTACAACTTTCATACACCTATCAAATTAGGTTGTCATACTCTAGAGAGAGAGAGAGTAAGACTGAAGAGGATAGATCTAATGATTACTAGTGCATCACATTTAACATTGTTAAATAATGTCTGTTATAATGTAGGTCGGACACACTACAAATTATAACTGTGGAATGAAATGTTCCTGAGATGATTTTTATTAGTTTACGCAGCACAGGGTATATATTTGTTTTTGTTGTTACTTTAGTGTGAATTAGAAAATGGTTGGTGTGTAAAATCATTACATGAATGACACATATAGTAAAATAAAGGGTGTGGTTAAACAACCTGTTAATATGCATAAGTAAAGCTTTCAAAACATTTTCAGTTGGTAAAAATAAAACTGAACAAACGCTTAAGTTGTACAAGAATACAACACCTGGGTAACATAAGCATTTTTATATCGATGTAATCTTTGCAAGACATATACATTGTACATATTGGTGTACTTTTTCTAGTGCATAACGCAGACACTACTGCTATACAAATGTCAAGGCATTCTGTCATTCGATAATTTATTATCTACGGTCAAAAGATGAATACGTTTGAGCAATAAAACTGAAGTGAGGAGTGTTACAGATCAATATGGTGGTCTTTTAGATACGTTTTTAATCTCATATGACGTTAATTCCTAGTTGCTGTCTTCGGTAGACCCAACCAATCGGTGTCTTTAGGCACAAGAACTCGGCTGTTTACACTACAATTAGCTATGAAATTCAGAACAAGTGGTTCGCTTCACAGCTCAAAGTGCAATAGTAATTCCACCTTATGTGGCAAGGTGTGCATATCACGATTATCATTATTGTTCTGCCACTGGAACACAGGGCTTCAGTAGTACATCTCCATTCTGTCCTATTTTCTGTGACCCTCTTCAGTTGACCTCCATTACCGACCATAGTTTCCCATCTCCATGTCACCCTCGTATCTACATCCAACTCGTAGTTTCTCATTAGGATCCCACTCGAGCGGTGGCCTGGCGCGCGATGTCATTTGACAGTCTCCTCAGCGTATGCCCGATCCATCTCCATTTTCTTCTGTTGTTGAGCAATAGGTTTTTTCCCGTAATTTCTTGTTGCTAATTCTTTCTGGACGGCCATTTGATCCCCAAAATGGAGCCAGAGAAGGCAGCTGTTGATAAAAGTTTACAATCTATTGGAAATGCTTTTCGTCACGCTTAGTATACGTTTCTAACCTATGTAGAAGCAGCGACTGACTCATATTAGTGTCGATAATTCGTGTTTCGTCCTCTATGCTAAGTGGAGGTTTGTCTTGCTTTTCCGATTCTGGCTTTGACATCTTCATCCGTATCGTCCCCGCCTGTAGTTAAAATAATGTCTCCTAGATAATTGATGGAAGTAGCCTCTTTCACATTTCTCCCGTTAATAATGATTAGTGCATATTGTTGTTCGTTGGTTGTCTTCACCTCCGTCTTCTCTATATTCACCTGAAGTCCCGTCTTCTCTGCTTCTTCATTCAGTTTGTTGGTTTTCGCTTGCAAGTCTTCGAGTTTGCATGATATTAGACATATATCATCTGCGAAATTCAGATCTTTTAGAGTCTTCTAATCGGTCGTCCAGTGTACTCCTGTCTACTTGATTCCCACAGGCTGACGCATAATCCAATCCACCACAATTAAGAATATCATCGGGGATAATAGACAGCCAGCCTGTCTCCACTTCGAATGCCTCTCTGGGTTTTCCGTTGTGGATCACCTGACACGTGGCATTGTCATGCAGCTGTTGAATGAGGTTGACAAAGACTTGGGCACTACATTCCGTAGTGTTGAAGTAGTTTCCAAATTACCTCTCGGTGAACGCTGTCGAAGGCCTTTTCAAAGTCGATGAAATTGAGGTAGAGTTTTGACTGTCATTCTATGCTTTTTTCTTTGGAGATGCATAGAGTTTCGATTTGATGAGCACATAACTTGCCTTTCCTGAATGCAGCTTGTTCTGGATGGTATATATATATATAATTAATAAAACATGTTAACATTGTTCAACGTCCTCGTGCTACTCTACGGATAAGTAAGTACACTTTAGAGCTTTTCTTATGCACTGAAGGGGTAATTAATTTCTTTATAAGATGCTCTTTTTCTTACTTCTTTTCACAAATACCAAACTAATAACTACTTCATTAACACTTAGATCGTATTGTAGAGACTATTTTACTGGGAATGCATTCCATAAGCTGGAAATATATTTACAGCCTAATTAATCAAGCCTCTATTACCAATCAGGTGCTTGTCGGGTGAACGCAACATAATCTTATGAACTGTCAATCAAAAACAAAATTTTAAATCCTTTATGATGATGCATGAGATAACTATGGAACTAAGTTATCCTTATAAAATAGTTTAATCTGTGAAACATCTTTTAATAACAATTGTGCACAAGCAAAAATAACATCATAGAAGTTAGTATTGCTGTTGTTTTTTTTCAATATCATTTTTGATTGATGAAACAACCTCGATGTGTAAGTCAATTAATTCGCATTAAATGAATGAGTAAAGTAACTTAAAAATTACTGATGCGTTTTTCATAGTCCTTTATAGCCTCCATTCAGCAGGTTTAATCTTAACTCACAGATAAACATCCAGTACTTAAGTTAATTATTGACTTAGTTCTCAAATTGACCGTTCATCCTGAATTTTCACTTTACAATACACTGAACAATGCTTATGTGATGCACTGCTATACAATAGTGGGATAAGTAAATTTTTGTTGCAAATAGGTGAACGATGTTGAATGATGTCAGTAGTTAGTTATGCCATTTTTGTGATTGTTAGCAAACTAAGTTAATATATAGATATGATAGAGAAGATTTGTAGTTCAGGTAGATGATTTTGATGTGGTTGTGTTCTCTAAGCTGGATAGTTAATTTGCGAAGCTTTCATCGCCCTACTAGGCAACATCTTCAGCGCATACTTCAATTTCTTGAAGTGAGCTTTTATATTTCTCCACGAGTTTATTAATCATCTCTCCTGGTGATCTTGGACGTGATTGGTTGTTTTTGTGTTTTCATACCTTCTAGGTTGCTTGTACTGGAACTGATTGTTTCTTTGATTTGAACTTTGACTTTTTGTGTGTGTGAGGTTTCTTTCTTATCGGTTGATAAATTTTATCTGTGTCGATTTGTCTATTGATTGGTGATTCACTGGAATGTCAAGCTTCTAAAAATTCTCTAGCATTCTTGGTGTTTCCTCTGTCTAATATTTGAACGTTGTCCCAGTCGAATTGATGTCTATGATTGTCTGTATGTAGTGATATGAGGGAGTGGATATCATGTTTTTTGACGGCTAGCTTGTGTTCGTGGATACAAAGACGAAGGAGACGTCCACTTTGGCCAATGCTGTGTTTTTCAAAGCTGTTACAATTTATTTTGTAGATAATGTTGGTTTTATCTTCTTTCTCAACAGCGAAAGAAGACAACGTTCAAATATTAGACAGGGGAAACAACAAGAATGCTAGAGAAATTTTAGAAGCCTGCTTGGTATTCCAGTGAATCATCAATCAATAGACACAGAGATAGATAAAATTTATCAACCGATAAGAAAGAAGCTTCCCACATAAAGGGTCAAAGTTCAAGTCAAAGAAACTATCAGTTGCAATACAAGTAACCTAGAAGGTGTGAAAACATTCAAAAACAGCCAATCCCGTGCAAGGTCACCAGAAGAGATGATTAATAAACTCGTGGAGGAATCTAAAAGCTCACTTCACACTGAAGTATGTCACCTAGCAGGGTGATGAAAGCTTCACAAATTAACCATTCAGCTCAGAGAACACAACCACATGAAAATAAGTTAATATATGTTTGTTTGAAGAACAAAGCATGTAAATCATTTTATCACCTCATTCATTGGTTATTATTTGTACAGGATTTACATTTCTCGACATTACTTTCGAACTGTATGAGAATTTTCTCAATGAAAGGACAAGTAGAGATCGTGAAAACTGGATGTATAATATAGTATACGTAATACAAATTAAGAATTAATTTTCTCACATCACTACTCAGGGAGTAATCGGAATAAGTATTAGGTTGACTTTAAACCATAACCAGAGAGCCATTAACGCCACTATTTTAACATATCCAAAAGTTTTTCATTTTCTGTCTTACTCGCGACTCATCAACTGTGGATGTGCCTGCATCCCTAGTGACTAGTGTTCCAACTACCCTAAAAATTATTATCCACTGGGCCACATTTTGAAAATTATAAGAAAGAATCAAATTAAAAATTTTTTGTAAAAAAGTCAAGGGAGATGACTATGTGGTTATCAACCCTTTGAAAGTAGAAGAATAAACGTTGTTGTCACGGTTTTCTCAGTTAAATCTAAATTCTGTTTCTATCTCAGTTTTGGGGAATATTTTTCTATGTAAACAGTTGGTTAGAGACTGTTTTTGTCTGGAGGTGCACTCTAGTTAAAATAGACAACAATCAACAAATCAGTCCTACTAAGTTATAACGGTGGGGTTATAAACCCTTTTAAAGTAGACACCTATCATCTCTTGTCGGAAAAGTCTTATTTAACGTATGCTACTGGGTTATATAAGTGGCAAATATTAATCCGATAAAAAGTGTAAAGTCCATATATTTTGTTATTAATTGGGGGAGGTGAGGTGAGGTGAGGGGGGGGAATAAGCACTTTTTTGACTTACGCGTTACTGAGCCTATATTTATAACAAAGTGGGTTAGAGAAGTAAAAAAAAACTGCCGGTTGAGAGATATCAGCATATCATATTTCAAAACAAAGAAAAAAACACGAAACAAATATCTTTCTTGTTCATAGGATAAATGTTCATTTAGTTCCCTAATAATCGTTCCACATATCTAATAATATAATACATCTTTTTGTATGACAGAACAATAAACTACGGTAATTGAAGATTGATTTAAATCTCAATATTTATGATTTGCTCAGTGTCCTATTCTCGACTGTAACAATGAAGTTGGGTCTAATCATCAATTTTCCCTTCATAATTACACCTGGAGATATTCATATAAGAACTGATTTAATGCTGTGACTACCTTCTATCTACTTCTTCACTAGATAAATCTTGAAATCAGTTTTACATAAGACTTTCTTGTTATATTTTCCACACACACACAGAAAATTTGTTGAGTTAATGTAAGTTCTTCAAAAAAGAGAAAGTAGTGATCCTTCAACAATGACTACACCTGAGATCACTTGGGTGATATTAGCATAGTTGGATGGCATTGCATTTAATAACTCAGTTATAGTCTAATTTTTATTTATAAAAAATATATATGAGCAAACACTTGGCAATAATAATTAGTTGGCGTATGATGCAATTTTGCTTGTCTTTCATTCAACCACACAAGTATTATGACCACTTACTATTGTATGGGTGCATCTCTAGCTTTAGAATTTCGCAGTTGGTATGACAATCCTGGACTGATATTATCTCCCTTAATTGAATGTGTAGATTGAAACTACAACTTAACGATAGACCTACGATATTGTTCTAGTTGATTCTCATATTTATTTATTTAGTCAAACTGTACACATGTAGCTAGCTTTCAACTAAGGTGTCGATTTACGCTCACAGAATACAAGTGCTGTTTTCACGATCTTAAATCTCCCGACCGATAGCTGCTACCTTGACGTGGTGGTCGGGCTTGCACATCGCGATGACCCAACAAGCTTCACTGGCTGGAACCAATGTTCCTGCAGGTCCTACCATGCCAAGAAGGTTGTTAGGATAGCGATTAGACTAAAAGCAGTTACCAGCTCAGTGTAAGAATTTTTTTTACACTGTGCTGGGGGCGAAGTCGTACTGCTGAGGAACAGGGAAGTAACAGCAGTGGGTGTTTCCCTCAGATGACCAGCATGCCAGCTATGCTGTCTCTCCACTTCGGAGAGAGGGGATTAGAAAAGGTCAACCGCAAAAATTGTACATCCTGATTTACCCTACGGTAGTTCGTAACCGGTGGTAAGTTTACTAATACGGAACCTATCCCAGAAACTACTTCATACAGGCCGTGTGTGACCGGCCTCAAGCAATTGCCTCCTGGGCTCTCTCTGCTTCAGGTACCCGAAGAATCAATCTACTTCCACGGTGTGGGCAGCCGGGAAGGAACAACCACCCACACACTTCCGAAAGGCACACGAAGCCTTCCTGAGCATTATTCTCCTTTGGACTACTTGAACTGCCGCACATCGGTGCAAAGTCCTATGTCGAAAACAGACAGACAGATATCTTAAATCTAGGGCACCTAATTCGTTCAACCTTTACATGACCACAGAATCAATCCTACACTTAAGTCACAACATGGCGAATCACCGACTAATGGAAACTACAAGATTTATTTATAACAATTTAGTTGTGGAAAGTTGAAATGAAGACTAAAAAAATGACATATGTTCATTCGTATGAATTCTATGACTACGAATTGTAACTGTACTACTTTAGAAACAATGAAGTGAATTTGAAAAGACAAAAAAGAAACCCGAAAAGAAGAAATGTTTCTTTGAATCCGGAAGTTGATATTACCTATCAATATCACACACAAGTACGATGAATTAAAAAAAAATTAGTTGTATATTCATTCACACAGAACACGAAGTATGTATTTACTAACTGTTAGATGAAATCATCACTTTTGACAGCAAAAATCAATTGGAACATATCTTTCTCGTGACAACTTTCTGCAATACTGTTTTCCCCCTTTAAAAAGTGATACTTTCATTAATGGAAACACATCAGTAGTCACCCAAATAAAATTATATTACTTTTTTTTGTAACAAACGATACATGCTGGAGAAGATTTCTACCTCAGGTGGATGATAGTGGTAGAGTTGTGCTCTTTGTGTTTTTAAAGTTGGATGGTTTATTTACCAAAGGCTTGAGATGTTGCCTTTATGTGGACAACATCTTCAGCTCAGTACAACGGTAGGAAACATACCATTACGCGTGTCTGTGTATGTGTATGCAAAGCCATTTACATCATGCTAACAGTGTGTCTCATCAAAATAAACATGCTCGTTTAAGTTATATCCATGATATATATCTCTCTCTACTGGTTATAAAAACAACTCCATATAAGGCATTCTAAATACAGTTTAACAAACATTCTGATCAAGGTAACACAAAGGTAAAGCTAATTAAATAATTAACTCAACACAATATGCATTCTCGAATTAATTAATTAGGGTATACACAAATAGAGTAACGTTCATAAAATGAACTAAGTAAAACCATATTGTAAGTATGTGTGTGTGTGTGTGTGTACATATATATGAAAATTGTTAGACAAAAGAAGTTAAAATGAATCATTAGTAGGTAGGTAGAGAGAGAGAGAGACAAAACACTACACACCACATTCACAGGTTAAAGTGAAGACATACAACAACATGCTTTATCACATAACAGCATAATGTAGATATAAATTGAATCGATGATAGAAAGGCATTTATATTTCGGCAGACAATGAAAAAGTTGAATTGATCTGACAAAAACTCAATAAATGTAAACCTTTAAAAAAGCATAAACAAACGAGATGTATATATGTTTATGAATGAAGGAAATAAATGTTTTGTTAGTCTAACAGAATGATACTAAATAGTTGATGCGAAATAATAACAACATCCACGAAATAACCAGGTATACACACACAGACACAAATAGACTACAGATTCCTACGACACAGATCAAAAGGATGTTAGTAGTAGTAGTAGGTTAGGGTCGAATCCTTCAAAAGTGCAAACACCAATTTCTTATAGTAGGAGTTAGTACCGAACGATGAAAGCACCGAAATGAATACTACACATATAGCTCGCAGACAATCGGATTATATACGTCATGAAAATCACAACACCTTGTTTGTCTGTTCCCCACCAGCCAGTTAAAAGTTAAAGAAACAAGAGTCAAAACACTCAAGTACCACGAATATTTTTTATCTTAATAATAAATAAACAATAATAGCAGTTATAATCAATAATACAATATTACAGACAAACACGAAACAGGATTTAACGTTTACCCGTCTCCTGTTGTTCAAATGATGGATATTTTTCTCTTGCATCCTCCCATGATCGAATTCCATTGGCAATATCAGAGACTAGCGATGGTAATTCATCCAACTGTAGAATAAAACAATCAGTTATGAAATAAATATCACGAAAAAACTAAACAACAAAATAAATATGTTTATTTTAGTAAGAGGTGATAAGCTGTAATGTTCACATTTTTCCTTTATCGTCAGCATAACGATCCATCCATCCATCAGATAGGTAAATTCTCTGTACACAACATTTCTTTTAACCGAATGGTAAAAAAGCGATATTCTTTGTGTTGTATAGAAACCTAATTTATTACTATTATGAAATGCAACCACTCTATACACGAAGGTATCTCAGATGAGATTGTTTGAAATAAACATCGTAGGCTAACTCCACAGTTCTCTACAAAGACATTAAAATAGGACGCAATAATAAGTGGTAACAATGAGTAATGTGATTCATGTATCCCTTATATGTTTTTATACACTCAAAGTGAATGTGCAGGAATTTAAGATAAAAAAACCGGTTTACAAACCTAAGACAGATGGATGAATCGAAGACCCGATGATCCTTTTAACAAGTGACTTAATATATTATTATCATCGTTCTCTTGGGTTCCTAGTGGAACATAGGGCTTCAACTGCACGTCTCCACTTGCACTGATGTCCCACTCGCCACTTCCCTTCCGGACTGGTTCCACTCGAGCGATGACCTGACGCGCGATGTCCCCCGGTGGCCTCCTCAGCGAGTGAGTGTCCAGTCCATCTCCACTTTCTCCTGCATATTTGTTGGTTGGTGATTGGTTCTTGTTTCGTTTGTTCCCGTAGTTTCTTGTTGGTGATTCTTTCCGGCCCGGCCATCTGATCTACCGTATAGAGCCAGCGAAGACAGTTGTTGGTTGATAAAGGTCTAGTCTGCAACAGGCTGTTGGAGATATTCTTTGTGACCCGCCCTCCAACTTTCTGATCCGTATAGAAGAACTGACTGACTTGACGTTTGTATTGAAAATCCGAGCGAATTTTGTTATTGATACTGACTGAGTGACGAAGATTTCCAGATTGGTTTCAGGTTAGTAGTGAATGGGTTTCTCGCCTTTCCGATTCTAGATTTGACATCCTCGTCCGTTCCGCCTGTAGTTAAGACAGCGCTCCCTAGATAAGTGTATGAAGTAATCTCTTTCAAATCCCTCCCGTTGATGGTGATTGGCGCTGGATGTTGCTGCTGTTTTTGTTGTTGGCTGGTTATTTTTATGATCTCCGTCTTGACTTACAGAAAAACAATTCTAATAATAAAAATTGATATGATTATGAACAATAAATTGTGTTCGAAACGTCATCCAGTACACAATACTGTTTCACTGTGTGATACATTTAATAATCAAACTAATATGGAATTCTAATAATACTTAGAATGTACTAGGGTAGACTGCACCGGAACTCTACTTCCAATAAGAATGCGTTCAGACATTGTTCTTACTGTGATCAAACTAAGTACAAAATTTCTTCTACCCTACAGGGGTTTCGTTTATCTCCCGTTTCTTCCTTTTTCGCTTCGTCTAGACAGTTTGTGTCGTAATGTCTTATAATTTATATCCTTTAGTCTAGAATTCCTCATTAGTTATTTTATTCCTTTGCATTCCCAGTGGAAAATAGAGCTTTTAGGTTTCGGTAGCAGTGGTCTCATTTTTACGGGGTGAGATTGCTAGTCTCACGCCCAACCTTCCCTCTTTGCCGGGCTTATTATTAGCTAAGAGAGGCTTGGGAGTGCGTCGATCGGGATCAAAACCCAGACCACCTGCGTAGCTGGTGAGCATAGCATCTCTGCGCCACCGACACACAGAATTCTTAAGCCACTATCGAATTTTGTTTGATAGCTTCGATTTTCAAGAGCTTATTGTAGAGATTAGATTTCTTTCAGGTTTGACCGCGGATTGATACCAGCTAGAAAACCATTGAAAACCAAGGAGTGCTTGGTTCGGAATTCATTGGCAGTACGCACATTCACGAGGCTTCGATTCTAGGACCTTTCGGTTACAAGGCAACCTCGTTGACCATTTCAGCCACCGGGATCCGATTCAATGGACAACCAATGAATTCTTACTCCTACGAATTCGTGATTTCAGTAGGTGAGTCCCAAACTAAGACGAAATTACCAGTACTCCCTGTTTGTTTTCAATGGTTCTCTAACTGATATCAATCTGTGATCATAGTTAACAACTTTAGGTTATCAATAAAACACAATCAACTGTCAACAAAACAAAGTGGGTAATGAGCCAATCAACAAGAGTATTAAGCTCTGATGGAATAAAAATATTAGAAATAGGATAAGATTTTAATGAGGCTGCTAATAAATGAACAGCTTAGTATTTCACTCCCAATATGATGAAAGTATTAGTTAACGAAATAAATAAAACAACTGCTCAGAGCAAGTGTTAGAGCACAATGTGTATTGATGTTGAATTCCAATAAAAAAAAAGCAGAGAAAATATCACTGAAGGAAATAGCAGCTCGAAAAATGACAGAAACATAATAATTGCCACATCAACAGTCAGATAATTGTCGAATTTCCCACTTATAAAGGCATTTGAAGACTGTTCTAATCCATTATGAGTTATGATACATTCTTTTAAATACATGACTCCATCTAATTCATTCCACATATATTGATTATTTTAAGATGAACAATGCACTAAATGCTTACTATCTCACGTTTGATGTATACTATTTTATACTTGCCACCCATCAAACATGTTTTAGAATCTTGAACTGACTTGTTAATTTTCTTTTCCCATATGGCATGTATCTTTTATACTTCATCACTATCATCAATTGGCATTTCTCAATATTTTGTAATTGTATTATTCAGTCAGTGCAGCACATTTTTCTCACTCTATAACCAATCTGTTATTTTACATCGTATGAAATGTATCCACCACACAACTGACTGTTACTGTAGTGCCAGTGAATTATGCTGAATTTTTCGAACTACTTGCAAGTAGTACACACTACATTACAAAAATAGTATAGGGTTCTCGTAGAGGAAAAGAAATTTCATGTGATTTAGGATATGATGTGAAAAGAAAAGGCTTATTGAAGTATTTGTAAAGTATGAAGAGAAATACTCATATATTAGAGTTAATCTGTTTGTTAAAGCATCAGGTATTAGCTAATCCGTATTAGTTTAAAACATACACAAAAAATATACTATAATAAAGAAATAATCACACAAACACGCAGAGACTAAAGTACTTAATCACCACCTATGGATAAAGCAACATGATGATTTGACAAAATCAAACGATCTATACTGTTGTTATTGTTGTTTTTTTATTACACTTAACTTTATTACTAGATGTAAATTTGTTGTGTTATTTTCTTGTCTCTACAGCTCAATCAAATTCCTTTCTTACTAATAATTATCCTATTATAAGTAGAGTCAGAACCCCCCCTCCCCACGCACCCACCACCACCACCTAAAAAAACAACTTCAGAGTACAATTATATAAAGATTGTAATGAGGATTGTAATTTGCTTAAAATTCTGAAATGATTTCAAATGATCATAAAGAAATAAACAAAAATAATTAAAATTTGTCTATACTCATTGAGAATTTCATCTAAGATGATGATAAGTATATAGAACTTAAGTATAATGAATGTATTAACAGTTTTGCCCTCTTTATACTAGAATTCATATACTCATCTGAAAAGCTTTCAATGTCATCTGTAATTGCTGTCTGTGAAGACACTTGAAGTGTGATAGTGAAACATGCTGTGAGTATAGACACAATATACTACTAGTGAACAAATAAAGTATACATAACACTTTCAATAATTTACAATTAAAGAAAAACTTCATTATAATAAAGGTGTTTTGTAAGTCCCAATGTTTCGCTCTTATACTCTATTGATTCTCTTCACTCATCTTCTTGTCTACCTTTGTGTGCTATTTGGAACATGGCAACTCGAACTGCTGCACTTCGGTGCCAAGTTCTATGTTGAATCCAGACAGACAGACCCAACGAATGAAAACTGACATTTCGCTATTTAATGCTGCTGCTAATAGCTTTATGAAAGTATTATTAAAACCAGAAATTTACAAAATCTCAGTTTATATAAAACAACTTAATCATTGTTCCTCAGCATGGAGTAAGTTTTGCGTTGTCAAGTTGACCAATTGGTGAAGATAACAAAACATCAGGTGTAGATTGTTGGATTTGATAAATGTGCAAGATTTTAAAGGCAGCATGTATTTAAATAGTGAAATCGCTTATCATATTCGTGTTGATTTTCTCATTTCATGCGGGAGGGAGGTGTTGTAACCAGGTTATGCTGAGGAACGATGATTAAGTTATTATGTATAAACTGAGGTCTTGTAAGCTTTGGTTTAATAATACTTCGATAAAGCTATTAGCATTAAATAAAGAAACGTCAGTAAGAACAACAATATCGTTTTCCTTTTTCAGTCTCATTAGGAAATACAAAAACCTTTATTATAATGAATATCATATAGCCAATGCCCAAATGTTTTCGAACTGAAAGAGACTTCATTAGTAATATTATATACGAATTGCCGAAGAAAACGAGCAGATACATACACACAAATGTAGTGGACAATAATTGTATTTACACTTACAGGAACTCTAATTTGTTTCATGCTATCACGTTCACGAAGAGTTGCTGAAGCAGGCAATTTATTTAATGTGTCAAAATCAACAGTAATTCCATATGGTATAGCAATTTGATCTGTACGAGCATAACGTCTTCCAATTGATCCACTACTTTCATCAACTCGATGTGAAACTCCACATTTAGTCAGTTCAATAGCTAGTAAAGAAATGTGAGTGTTAAGAAACAAAACAAAAACAAGCTGCAGTGAGACAGATTAACACTTTTTAAATAACAGTACTTACTCCGAGTTATCATAACTCAATAAAATCAAACTTTAAAGGTGGAAAGTGACAAAACATAAATAGTAGGGTACACCAAGTGAGAGATACAGGCATCCGCTGACGAGGGTGTGTTAAATGTCGCTAATTGGCGGAAGTTAGAATTTATAAAACATTGTATTCTGGTCACAATGATTGAATGGTCAACAGCTTCACCACATAACTTAGGTTCGACTCCCAGTGGTATGACAGGTGCATAATGCTCAAATATTTCAAAGTAGGACAAAAAGGCTGTTCCCTTGGGTCCCTACTGGAACATAGGGCTCCAAGTCACCCTCAGATGCCAAACTTGTCGTCTCCTATTCGAGTTTCACTCAAGAGATTGTCTGGCGTGTGATCTCATTTGACAGCCTCTTTCTCTGTTGAGCAATAGATTCTTAACATCAATCAAATTACAGGAAATCAACACTTGAAATAAATAAGATAGCAGATCATTAAGTGTTATTCAAGTATTAATATTTCATCTTTAGCATACTTGATGCAATCGATAGCAGTAACTTCACTAAAGGACAAAGACTCAGTTTTTAAAGAAAAATATTCTGATGATGCTAATACTACCCTATCACCTCAAGTCTAGAGATGAAATGTCTACGTTTAAATATCGGATCTCGAAGAGTGACAAATATTGATCCTGTTATCAAGTGTTATAAAACATTATAAAATTACAGTGAGAGAAGAAAATAATAAAAACAAATGTAAAAAGAGATATATAATTGGTGGATGTTGACTAGCAATGGAATCCAGGATGCGCATTTCGTCCTATTTGGGACTCGTCATCTGGATGTACCTGCATTTCTCAGTGGGTGATGATGTTTCCACCGAGGCTCGAACCCAGCGGCCATCATCACTCACTGAGAAATGCGGGTACATCCAGATGACTAGTCCCAAACAGGACGAAACGCGCGTCATGGATTCAACCGCTAGTCACCATCCACCAATTAAATTCTAATCAAATGACCAGACATCGTCGAAGCATCTGCACAAGGAGCTGACATGTCGACCTGAGACCCCGCGCTTCGGTCCAATCAATCGATGGGAAAATTCAATTAAAGTACTTTGATGGACATAATTGTAGACAACTATGAGCAATACCACCACCACCACTTATTGTATTGCCTTTAAATACTGATTTCAGATCATTCAAACGCGCACCAACCTGTCATACATCTTTCTACACCGAATAAACACCAAGGGCTTCATTGAATTTTCTGAACTGATGCCATATTTTTGGCTGGTTAAACAGTAAAGTTTTTTTCTTTAGAAACCACTTCTACTGCGGCATGCATTTAAACCGGTGGCTTCCAAAGTGTTAGTACACAATTTTATCTAATAGGTCTAGAATTTCTTAGTTGCTCTTACAGCAACATCAGTGACTTCATAAACACACAGTGGTTGTCAAGTACAACTGATACTACCGACTAACTAACAAGATATGCAACGTTTGACACGTTATAGGAAAAGCCACTACAAATGACTACTACTGTATTACAGCTTATAACCGTACGCTACTAAAATATGGAGCGGTAAAGCACTGTGTTTATTCAATGATACATTTTCCCATTGATACTAACTGTACTGCGCGTCGGTGGCACAGTCGTTAGGACTCTCGGTGACCATGCAAATGGTCCAGAGTTCGATCCTCTGCCGATGCAAAACTGATATCTATGGTCAACCTGCAAAATTTGGACTGCCGATATCACATGCTGAAAATTCCATACCTGTATAAAAAATACGGTGTGGAATCAAGCTGTAATCAAAATAAATACTCAAAATTGAAACAAGACACTCCCAATGAAATGTCTTCCTTATGGAAGTCACTTCAGAGTTAAACAACAATTATAAGAACTAGAAAAGGGATAGATAATAAAGGATCATTGAAAAAAAGGAGTCGATTCAAGTTTCGTCACATAATAAATAAAAGCAAAGTGGACGGATAAAGAAAAATAATTTTAAAAAACGAATCTGAAAAACTCTATTGTAAGGAAGAAGTAAAATTAAATGATGCTTAGTTGAATATAACATACAACAATAAGCAAAGTAGATGTATTTATGATACTGCGTTTAATTTTCAATCTTTTCTAGAGTTGATTTGCAGGTATTCTCTACTGGTCTCAAGTTAGATCACAAACTGACCACTAATTACAAAATCAAGGAGTACTGGGATAGTTGTTTCATCCTAATTTGGTACTCTTCAACAGCAACTAGTATCAGTTAAGTGATATAATTTGAAATTAATCAAATACCCACTGATGAGTGATTACAAAATGAAGTTCCCCGGGGTACTAGTCAGTAATCGTGACCTATGGGGTCCATCAAATTAGATGTGGCGGCAGTTAGAATGGTCAACTGACTCGCCTCACATAACACCTGACGGTTCTGGATTAGATCCTCGGTGGTATCAAGGATGCCTACTGACAAGGAGTCTCCAACCAGAATGAAACAGCTGTTTAGTACTTCCTGATGCCTTAAATGATATCCATTAAGATTCTTATAATCAGATGTCAAATACCTGAACAAAGCTATTAAAATCACCTTCATTTGCTTCTACATATTTACTAGAGAGAGAATGAAGGAATCAGAAATGCAAAAGAATAGAAACAGTGGAAAGATGTTTATATTGGAATATTCTTTACAAATGAATTTTAGTTTTTTACAATATAACAGAGAAAATAGGACCCGTCAATCATTAAAAAAAATTATGATATACAAAACCTTGAGTTATCAATTCACTTTTGATGTTGATACGATGAAGACAAATACGCATATATTATTAAGTGATAACATTAAATACATGATATTATAGTTATTAAATCACACGATACCACTGAAGATATCTTACTAACATAACATTGAGGAGGCTTAATAAATACATACATATATAAATTTTTTAGCAGAACTGAACATTCCTGTCTTTTGAATGAACTAGAATAAAGATTTGAGGTTTATCTAGGGATAGGGATTTTAATTTAAGACAATGGAAACTTACACAATTTGCGTACAATCGGTGCAAAATCCGGATGATTTGAAAGTGGAAGCAAAGAACATTTATACGGAGCCAGTACTGGAGATACAGACAGATACTAGAAGAAAAATAATAATAATAATAAAAGGAATTCATAATGACAATGGTAAAACAATACGATTCAAAACTACTGGTGTGATTACACAAGTCTAGTCATCGCCTTCTTCCACGGTCAATGTTAACTGACATAGGATCAGGTTGAACAAGAGCTAGTTGGAGGGTCAGTCAGTGAAATCCACAACAGTTAGGAGGTATAGACTTCCTGACTACTGATATAAGTATAAAACTTGGGCACTGTGGAGTATAACTCCATTATGGATAAGATTTTATTTTCATAAATCACTGATGACGTTTCGAGCACAAACTATTGCTCATAATCATATCAAGTAACTCACACAACTTTTTTCTTTCATTTATATTCATGTGTGGAATCGATTAGATATTGGATTAAAAATCAATCAACATCATCTCACATTGATTTTTAATCCAATATCTAATCGATTCCACACATGAATATAAATGAAAGAAAAAAGGTTGCGTGAGTTACTTGATATGATTATGAGCAATAGTATGTGCTCGAAACGTCATTCCTCACTACTGGTTGGAGTTCTCGGGATGGTAAAAACCAATGAAGACTGAAGAGACAATTGGTAACATGGTTGAATGGCTGGTGCACATGCATTCACTCTTTGTGATTCATCCTATCCAAGAAAATTCAATTTTTCTTCTATATTTCTGTTTATTATCTCTTTTGACTCTCTTGTCTTGGTATGTGCGCTACAAGGAGGGAGTGTTGCAACTTGAACTGCGTTGAAACCAGTCAGTCAGTCAATCAATCATTGGTACTGTTCAGTTTCAGTGAGAAAAATTACTCACTAATTGTGTACTGCTCAGCAGTTCGCTCCGTCCTTGTCTATGGCTCTGAAACATGGCCAATACGAACGAGTTGAAGACATGAAAAGGTTGACTTCTTTCGATCATAGATGTCTGCGATCTCTGTCTCACGTTAGGTGGTTTAATAAGGTAAGTAATGTTGACGTTAGGCGTAGAGTGTTGGGCAAAGAGGGAAAATCAATCGACGAGGCTATAAAGTTACATAGACTAAGATGGCTAGGTCACGTGCTGCGCATGCCTAACCACCGCCTCCCCCGACGGGCATTGCTAGCTGATATACGTGAAGGTTGGAAAAGAGCCAGTGGTGGCCAAACAAAAACATGGCCTCCTCAATCCATGAAATCCTTGACAGTTGAACTGAGTCAGATAGAGAGAAGCAGACTTCCGGGTTGGGGCCCTCGGGACTCTAGGAATCAATGGCTGGAGACAATAGGTGACATGGCTCAAAATCGTTGTCAATGGCCAGCGCAGATGTATTCAGTCTCTGTAATCTTTCATATTCCTTTCTACAATTACCCATTCTGTTTCACTCTTATACTTGTCAAACTCTATTGATTCTCTTCACTCATCTTGTTGTCTACCTCTGTGTGCTATTTGGAACATGGCAACTCGAACTGCTGCACTTCGGTGCCAAGTTCTATGTTGAATCCAGACAGACAGACTAATTGTACAAATTAGACAATATTCAAACAACTAATGTTATGAAAATTTTATGAGTACACACTATCAATATTGAATGAAATACGATTGTAAAATATGTACAACTAGAGCAGACTCAATTTATATGTGCATACAATGTGAATCGACTTTTACTTATCATAATTATATTGCAAAGGTGTAGATTTTTGCACATTTCTGAGAATCTAGAATTGCAAGTTAGAAAGAATGAATACACACACACACACACGATGTATATATATCATGTTGGATTTCTAGTATCACAGACAAAAACTTCGATAAATTTAATTTTCAAGTATTGGTTTTGTAGGGATTTTGTTTGATTGCATGAGCTGACATCCCAAAATAGGATGAAACAGCTGTCCAGTACTCCCTGGTGGTTTTCCAGTGCTTCTCTAACTGATGTCAGCTCATGATGAAATCCTGCATGAAACAGAATTTAAGCTGTTACATAAAATTGAAGCAACAAAGATTTCTGCATTGTATTAAAGGAAATCACAGGTGGTAAGCAAATGATGAGTGATATTTCTGTAGATGTTAACATGCTTAATGAATCCTATATATGTATCCCAGCAAATATCATGATAGCAAACTCAAATAGTGTAAATAATGACTGCTTCTCATGCTTTAACACGAATGATGTCCTCAAGTGTCTTCAATCTCTCAAGCCCACTCAGTCCCTTGGTCCTGATGGTGTTCCTGATGTTATCCTTAAGAAGTGTACCGACATCTTGTGTTCCCCATTAACTGACATTTTCAACGAATCGTTTCCCAAAAGTATTATACCTGAATCATGGAAAAATATCAAGATCGTTCCAGTGCCTAAATCAACAAGTGGACCTAATGTTAAGTTTAGACCCATTGCTATTACTTCACCTTTTTTGAAAGTTATGGAAAGACTTATTTTACTTAATCTTGATCCCTCTTTAAAACCTTTCAACGACCCCAACCAGTTTGCTTATAAACATAGTAGGAGTACGTTAGATGCCGCTGTCGTCCTCCACCATAGCATAGTCTCTAGTTTAGATAAATGAGCTAAATACGTTCGCTGTGCCTTCCTTGATCACACATCTGCATTTGACTCTGTTCCCAGGTCTCTCTTGCAAAGTAAGCTTTCTGCAACACAGGCTGAGAGCTGGACAAATAAGTGGTTGCATTCCTATTTTTCTGATAGGAAGCAGTACATCGTCTACAATAGAAAGTCCTCCACTACCTCACTTACTTTAGCTGGTGTTTCTCAAGGTGCTGTTCTTTCTCCCTTTCTGTTTTCGTTTTTCTTACATGACTTGCCTCATTCTGATGTAGCCACTTTTGTTAAGTACGCCGATGACCTCTCTGTTTCTATGCCTGTCAACTCTCAGAGAGATTGTTCCAAATTAAATAACTTCCTGTCGGAAATTAGTCAGTGGTCTTCTTCAAACGGACTTAAGCTTAATCCGGCTAAATGTCAGGTAGTCAATTTCAGACGTAAATGTGACCTACAGCAACTAACTAGCTCACATGGCCCCACTATCATTGACGGCACAGAGGTTGAAAATACATCTAATGTCAAATACCTTGGGCTGAGTTTTTCTGACGATCTTTCCTGGTCTTCCCGCACCTTGCTAGTTACTAGAAAGATGTTTCGCTTAACGTTCTACATTAGGAAATTTAGGCAGTCTGGCATAAAGCAGTCTTTGCTTTCTCAGTTTGTAAATTCTTGTATTCTACCCATCCTCTTTTACTTCTCCCCATTAATCTTTCCTGGACTACTTAAGAAAGACTTTGCTTTGCTGAGAAGGGCACTGAAAGCCGTTAGTAGGGCAAGTGGGATGTCGTTAAACCAACTGGTTAACACTATTGTAGATAGACATATTATATCATGTAAGAAACTAGCGAATACAATATCGTCGGACCCCAAGCATCCTCTCTATACGCAACTGTCGCCTTGTATTTCATCTGGTAGAACTAGAAGCAGCTATAGGCGGCTATATGCTAGTCTGTCCGTCTGTTTTCGACATAGAACTTTGCACAAATGTTCGGCAGTTCAAGTCGCCACACTCCGTGTAGCACGCGAAGCAAGAGAAGAAAGTACAAGAAAAGCATAATAGAAACAGTGAGCAGAGGTGTGAGACAAAGGAGTAATAAAGAAAAACAAAACAGTTTCATTGGAGATCATAAGTCACAAGGAGTGGATGCATCTGCGCCACTGAGAACGATTTTGAGCCATGTCACCAATTGTTTCCAACCATAGATTTTTACCGTCCCGAGGACCCCAGCCTGGAAGTCTACACCTTCCTACGTGGCTTAGACCAACTGTTGTGGATTTCATTGACTGGTGCCAAGTTTTTGTTTGACCGCCGCTAGCTTTTTTCCAGCCTGACCCTATATCCGCTAACATAGCTCGTCGAGGGAGGCGATGACTTGGCATACGTAACACATGTCCTAACCATCTCAGTCTTTGTAGCTTCACGACTTCGTCGATTGATTTCCCCTGTTTACCTAGAACTCTACGCCTAACCTCAATGTTGCTCACCTTATTATGCCACTTTACACGGGAAATAGAGCGCAGGCACCTATGATCAAAGACAGCTAGTCTTTTCATGTCTTCCACTCTCAGTGGCCAGGTCTCACAACCATAAAGGAGGACGGAGCGGACTGATGAGCAGTACACCCGCCCTTTGGTCGATAGTCGAACATCTCGTCTACGCCAGAGTCGGCGTAAACTGGCAAATGCGAAACGAGCCCCCTGTATTCGTGCTGAGATTTCGTCAGAGATCAGCCCGTTGGCACTGGCTGATGGTACTTCCCAAATAAGTGAAGCGGTCAACGTGCTCTACCACTTCACTTCCTATTTTTAAACTAGGCGTCGATGTAGTCCAGTCCTGTAACATCATCTTGCATTTGGCGGGAGCGAATCGCATGCCAAACATTCGTAGATTGCAGCTCAAGGTGTTTAGAAGACTCTGCATTTCGTCAGCGTCTTCGCCTAGAAGGACTATATCGTCTGCATATTCCAAGTCAACGAGATTATTCCCTGGTAGCAAGTCAATCCCTGAATCGCTGAAGTCACCTAGGGTTAAGTCCATTAACACATCTATGATGAAGTTGAATAGAAAATGAGAATGGGCATCCTTGACGGACACCACTGGTCGTCATCAGTTCAGATGACAGCTCGCCGTAAGCCCTCACCTGGCTGTATGAGTACGAATAGAGTGCCTTAATCAGTGCAATATATTTTCTTGGAATTCCCTTTACAGCCAAGCATCTCCAGAGAACTTCCCGATCGACAGAGTCGAATGCTGCCTTTAGGTCAAGAAATATAATGACTGTTGGACGCCGGTAGGAATGCCTATGTTCTAGAATCTGTCGGAGGGTGAAGATATGATCAATACACCCTCTTCCTGGTCTAAAGCCTGCCTGGCTCTCTCGTGTTTGTGCTTCCCGAGCACCACTCAGTCTACGCATGATTATTGAGCCTAAGACTTTAGATACTATATTAGTCAA